ACTGAATGGTTGCTATTATTGTCCGCCAAATACAGCGAACACCAGAAGAGGATTCACGAAGAGATCGATTCTGTGGTCGGAAGAGATCGGAGTCCCTGTTATGCCGACAGACTTCATATGCCGTTCACTCAGGCGTTCATTAATGAGTCGTTTCGATACAAAACTATAGTTCCCTTAAATCTGTTGAGAAGGTATGCACTTCTAATATTTATACATTTTATACCAGTCTTAAATATAAAATAGATATAATAGTTATAATAGATATAAGAGTTAATTATTTTACATCAATAACAGAACATTAGAGGACACATCAGTTTTGGGTCATTTCATACCAAAAGACACTATAATTATGGCTAACATATGGGCCGTTCATAACGACCCCAAAATATGGCATAATCCGGATCAGTTCAATCCCAGTCGATTCATGTCAAGTGATGGCAAAGAAGTGCTTAAAAACGAAGCTTTGATTCCATTCTCTTACGGTTTGTTAAGAATTAGTTTTATTATGAAAATGATAAATATAAAGAATATTCTGTGTTTGTATTGATAGGTAAGCGTTCGTGTGTTGGGGAGACGTTAGCACGAGTGGAGGTATTCCTGTATTTCGCATCACTTTTACAAAAATACACAATAAGTGCAGCAAATGATGAGGTGTTGACTCTGGAGGAGAGGTTTGGGATAGCATTAGATCCTAAACACAAATCTATACTTCGGTTCAAAAAGAGGATCTAAATTAATGCCAACAATTGATGTGAAATTAGACTCATTAAATAATGAGTTCAGTAATCTTCAAAGACAGTCTCTCTCTCTCTCTCTCTCTCCTCCAGAGTCAACACCTCATCATTTGCTGCACTTATTGTGTATTTTTGTAAAAGTGATGCGAAATACAGGAATACCTCCACTCGNTCTCTCTCTCTCTCTCTCTCTCTCTCTCTCTCTCTGCTCCCGGTTTTCACAATAAGTTTTTTTAAATAGAAAATTTAATTTAAAACACAAAACAAAACACTTATTATTATTATTTAAATCACAAAACGTATAAAAATTTACAACAAAATGTATTTTAATGGGAATACAATACTCTCTACAATATTAGTATGATTTTAATAGTATGTCTACAAATACAATAGACGTGTAAATCAATCCACACTTTGTATTGGAAAAACATTTTATTATTAGTATTATGAATATACATTTCCAGCAAACTAAGAATTTACACAATTTAATAATTTTCAAAGGGCCTTTATTATTTAATATAAAACAATTACAATGAACGATTAGCAAACATAATTGCTAATAATTGTTAATATTTGTTAATAATTGTTAATTGTTGTTACGCTCCTATAAGTCTTGCACACTGTCCGACCATACATGATAACGGTGCCCATGTCGGGTGAACGCGACAGTCATCGTGACTATTGCACGGCTTTCCATGGGTCTCGTCCACCCGTTTGTGAAACGCGTGGCCATCGAGATGTATGCAATCGCCGCTCGCGTAAAGGCAAACGAAACCGGCGTAAGCTTTACAGTGGGTATCCGTAGTGCACGGCAGGGGTATTCCAGCCGCTTGTGAGTCGACCCGTCTCTGCTTTTCCCGATCCTGTCTCTCAGTACTTCCGCCACCACTCTATCCCACGGCTCTCCCCTTCGATGTTCGGCCCCTCCGTCGGTGGATTTGGATCAGTGGTACGGATATGAGTTTCGCACCAACTATTCTGTCCATGGATTTCGCATTTTCAAAAGCATTGTTGATTGGCAGCCAATTGTGCAGGGCACTTTGCATTGGCGTTTTCACAGTCATTTTCGCTCTGACATTCTTTACTCGCTTCTGTAACAGCAAAACAGACCGACAGTATTAATACAATAGATATGTGCATGGTACATTTAGTGATACTCATTGTATGATTGTTATAGCTTTCAACTGACTATTGACTTGTGAGTAAAAACTCGTGTTATATACCGTATAAACATATGGTATTCATTGACCCAATGGTCTCAACCAGTGGTTTAGTTAATGTCATCATTGTATGTATTTTTAACTTTTTAATTTGTTTTAATGGAAAATTACTTTTAATTAAAATACACGTGAATTAGATTAAAATCACGATAAAAAAATCTGTTAATTAATTTCGGTAAAAAACGTATGATAAAATCATTAAAAATAATTTAGATATTAGTTTTATTTTATGAAAATTAATGAATATTTTGAAAAACACAAAATCACTAAGAATCTACTTAAAAATATGTCCACTGATCAGAAAGTTATTTGAGTTTGGTCTATTGGTTTTAAGCTTTTGATGTCTAGACGTTTTGGGTTTTAGGCCTTTTAGGGCAGAGCCTTAAAGACAAATTGTTGTCATTTTGTTGCACAAAAATCCGTATATTTAATTATAGAAAATAAAATGTGCAAGTTATTTTTAACCAAATAATGCAATCGTTGGAATTTAGTTACAGTATATTTATTCATTGCATTAATATTTTTTTAAAAATAAAATACTCTGACTAATCAATATTTAACAATGCATTACCAATATATAAATATAAATTACGTATAAATCAAATTAAATCGAAAAGTAATAAATAATTCAAATTTCTAATCCTATCATTATATTCTGAATTAAACTATTAACCTTGGTCATGGCATGGGGCGACAGTTTAAACTTTAAAGTTTGCCTAGAAATTTTATTATATCTAAAATTAGACATATACGCAAAATATAAAGCAATAATTGAACAATATTACTAATGTAATTAACTACGTGTAATTAACAATCTTAATCCTGAATGAATGAACGATCTCTGGGTATATAAGATCATTAATTTATCTTGAGCAGTTACGAAGATATTTAGGTTTGAATATTGACAAGAAAATTCGTCAAACTCTCATTTAAAATACATTTCTTGTCAATATTCAAACCTAAATATCTTCGTACCTTTTTCAAATAATTTTTGAATTTTTGAATTTTTTAAAAATAAATCTAATGTTTAAATAGTTTTTAATGCTTTTTCCATACAATTGTTACTTAAATTAATTAATCTTTTCTTGATTTTCTATATTGTGATTTTAATCTTTAATTCGCGTGTATTTTAATTAAAAGTAATTTTCCATTAAAACAAATTAAAAAGTTAAAAATACATACAATGATGACATTAACTAAACCACTTCACGGGACCATTGCGTCAATGAATACCATATGTTTATACTGTATATAACTAACGAGTTTTTACCCACAAGTCAATAGTCAGTTGAAATCTGTAACAATTAACAGTACAATGAGTATCACTAAATATACCATGTATATAACTAGTGTATTAATGTTGTCAGTATGTTTTGCTGTTGACAATAGCCTACAGACTACAGGCCAAGCTTTGTATCGCGCCATACGATCGTTCAATTATCAGAGTAACGGTGCTATTTATGGTGGTAGGGTGGTGGTGAGCAGGGTCGCACGGGAAGCAAGTGAACGCGAATGCCAGGGTGATCATGAATGCAAAGATGTCAATGAAATATGTATGAGCTGGGCAGACATTGGTGGTTCAGACAATACGAGACATTGTAGAACTAGGATACCTTGCCAAAATAATCATGACTGTCAAGGTGCCAATTCAGGATGCGATAAGGTAACCGAGAAGTATACATGGTGCTCTGGAGAATGTCAACTTTATAAAAACTTTCGTGGTGTTCAGCAAGATAAGAGTTACTGTATTACAGGTATCCAGTTAGTCACAGGTCTCTAAAAAACTAGCAATTTTGTTTGCTAATCAGTCACTGTAATTGTAATTGCTTTAAATTAAATAATAAAATACATTTGAAAATGATAAATTTATTCAAATTCTTTGAGATAAATTTGCACAAAATATGTATTAACAATACAAAGAATAAAATGTTTTTTCAATACAAAGTGTTAATTGATTTAAACGTCTATTGTATTTGCAGGCATACTATTAAAAATGTATTAATATTGTGGAGATTCCATTAAAATAAATGGTGTTATAAATTGTTATACATTTTGTGATTTAAATAATAAGTGTTTTGTTTTGTGATTTAGATTTAACTCTAAGAGAGAGAGGGAGAGAGAGACTGTCTTTTGATAATTACTGAACTCATGATTTAATAATGTTTTCATAACTTTATACATAAGTAATGGAAAAGAGATTATTATTAATTGAATTTCAAGCGAAACACTCTTTTCTGATCAAAAATTTTCTCAAAACTAGTAAAATGAATACTTATTTAAAACTAGAATATTATGTGAATATCAATAAAACAATTTCATTGGATTACATTTTGAGTATATTATAGGCTAATTTTGATTAGGATTTCTATACCATTAACTAGTAATTGTGACATAAATGCATAAAATATCCAAAAATTATCTAATTTTTTCAAAAAAATTATACATTTGTATATCAAAAGTAAAAGAGTTAAAATAGTACTTAAAATATTAATATAATAGTGATTGAAATATATTACACATTTTTATACACTTTAATGAAATTCAAAATTTATTACATTTAACATTAAAATATAAAACATTAATATATTAAGTGTTAATTATAAATTAAAGTATGTATGAGTTATTTAAGGGCTGAGCTCCCGGGGATAACAAATGGCATAATATGTCTTACAGTAGTGAATGATATTCACACTAATTATCATTAACACAATCAATAAATTTTTGGCAAATTTTTCTAGTTTTACATTATATTCAGTGAGTAATTAGTAACTGAATAGTTGTTAACTATTTTATAGACGCCTAATAAATAATGTTTTAAAATATATTTATTTTATTAAATCATTCATTAGTCATGTAGTAATTTGCGATAATTGTTGCCAAAAGTGTGAGCACCGGGCACTTCATACAAACTACCTTTCCCTTTATTTGTCAGCTAATAATCTCGGGACTTGTTTGAGATTCAGTCGATAAATATATTTTTAACATTAATTTAAATATCAATTTTGATAAAAAGTATAATAAATTATAAAACTAAATTAACATTTACCGGTAAAAAATATTTTAAAATACTTATGTAAACAATTAAAAAAATTATTTATATTTAAAACAGTTTTAATATAATTTTGATATATATTTTTAATTTGTTTGTAATTTTAAACTATAAAAATTTACAACATATTGTATATTAATTAATTAATTCTTAAATATGCCTTATTGTGCAATTTAGTTATATTTACATTTAATAATAAATGAATAAATTGTAAAATAGTTTTAAGATACAAATCTAAAAATCAACAAATAAATGCTATAACATGAGTACAGTACAGGGCAGATAATATGTTACAAGTTTAACTTTGAATAAGTATTTTATTTAATTCATTTGAGATGTCTAATGTGCTCGATACATTGAGTGGAAAGTTTATATTCACTATTGCATAATACACTGAGATAATCTGTAGACATAATATAAATTCATAACTATGATAAAAATTAATATGTGCTAGATAGAATATCATATTAATGTTAGTCAATGTTTAGTTTTAATTACAAATGAGTCTAATTTCATGTCAATTGTTGGCATTAATTTAGAACCGCTTTTTGAACCGAAGTATAGATTTGTGTTTAGGATCTAATGCTATCCCAAACGTGTCCTCCAGAGTCAACACCTCATCATTTGCTGCACTTATTGTGTATTTCTGTAGAAGTGATACGAAATACAGGAATACCTCCACTCGTCCTAACGTCTCCCCAACACACGAACGCTTACCTATCAATACAAACACCGAATATTCTCT